AAAAATCACTGGTCATAGAAAACATTTCTCAAGTAAGATTTTATTTTGAGAAGTAAATATCGAGCTGAAATATTGATTTTGTTGGAGATGTCGAAATGATTCAGAAACTTAAAAACAAAACAAGTCCAGCCATAGACTTAATCCGATTAACTTAAAAACCTGAAATATGTTAGTTTTGCTTCGAAATGAATGATTAAGCAAATTTGAGTTACAGTGTTCTTGAATAATGTCAGAGGTCAAAGGTCACAGGTAAAGTAAAATTACTCAGTTTTCTAAAGAAAAGAAAAAAAGTTTGCATTGTTGATTTGAAAATTAAATCAAGAAAATAACGAAATTAGCAGCAACTTTCATTCAGCAAATTGTCTTTTCAAAAATCGAACTTTGATATTTTTGAACAAAGCTTGGAGACAGAAAATATTTCATTTCATAAATTTTCAATCGTTTTCCAAAATTTCTAATCATGGGATGTTCAATTAAGTGTTTTAAAAATATTTTAGAAATATTTCAGCTTTTGTCTTCATTTACAAATGGTCCCACTACACGTAGATTTTATCAGCTGAAACTTTCCGTTTGGCAGCTTCTGAATAAGAAGTATGTCTGTCGAGAGCCCATTCTAATGCTTTGAATTGGTCTAAATACATGGCAAATATCACCAAAAGTAATTTTCACAAAGGACGAGATGCACTTCATAATCATAGCAGGCACTCTATAAAACCTCTTAAGACGGTCGCGCAACTCGCAAAATAGTGCTGTTATGTCTCCCATTCTCTTAACGGCTCTTCCATTTACATATCATTTGCATACCATATAATTTTGTGTATTTGTAGGTTTCGTGTTTTGCGTACATGCAGTGTTAAGGTTCATAAACTTGTATATAAATAAAAGGATCTAAGCCAATGAAGTTACGAAAGGTTAAATTATTTGAATGTTTAACCTATGAAATCTCTACTACCTTTATAGACCTGACAACAGGTTAAGACGTTTCACCGAATGGGTGCAAGGGAAATGAAACCATTATTAATCTGCTACTCACGATGTACTTTTTAAGACTTCAATTAGGCACTGAGCATCACAGAAGAGTCCAAGAAGGACGAAACAGCTGTATGATGCAGTTTAATACATTGTTTGACTCTACTGTATCTCACTCTAAATTATGAAAAGGTGTTATTTTTTTCTTATGTGTCTTGTTGTACAATCTTCAATGAGTTGTCGTACTTGGTATAATTCTGTGACACCCGTCATAAAAGCAAAATCGGTGTCTTTTATGCTTTGACGGTACATACTGTATAGATATCTGTTTTTATCTAGGAAACGATATTTTGATGAAAGGAATTTGAAAATTCTTTTTTTTTTTAGACCCAATAGTCATATTTATCAGGCGGCTAAGAGCACGTAGATGCACAATTGACTCACCACCCAGGATTATATATTTAAAATATCATTAATGATAGTTGATTTTATCAACCGGATAGATATAGCTACAAGTCAGTTATCAATTCAGTTTGAATTCCTTGAAGTTAACATGGGTGTCAGAGGAAAATCATTCTTTGATGACTCGAATGTACTTCCGGTGTTAAATCACGTGATTTATACGAGCCAATGGTATCTTTCGGGATGTTTGCGTTCACGGACACGCACTTATCAGTGTCGATACTTCTGTGTGTACCCATAACTAAAGCACATGTCCAGTAATCAGTCATTCCGATCCAGCATCCCCTATGGGAGCAATGCAATTATTGAATATCGTGTCCCCATTTGTTGATGAATGCCATCGTTTATATGCCACAACGAGGCCTTGTCCCATAGCGACTATAGTGTTGGTAATCGCACACCGAGTCTTCAAAAGTCCTCTTCAATAAACAGCGGCAGTATACACCTACAGACCCATTTGGTGTCACTTATTTAGCAGAGTCTTCGTACATTTATGGCGAAACGTATATTCGAGGGATTATTTAAAATTTAACGTTAATAATTCAATTTCTTTTGTTTTGTTCGTGTTTGAAAAAAGCAGATGGTAGTCTCTGCTGTTAATATCCACAGTTGCTGTATAGCCGGCTATTTTCGCGGAGATGTAAAATTTTGCTTTTTCGCAGTACTTTAACGTGAAAATCGAAACCTCGAAATAACGAGTCACGTGTGCATAAGACATCTTTTTACGTCCAGGTTGGGACGGAACCAGGAACCAGTTCCCAGTTCATTTTTTCTTAAACGGAACTGGAAACCAGATCCTAGTTCCGTTTAAGAAAAAGCGTTTATGTTGGCAAAACGAAAGGAGGTGCCTAAATTAGAATTTGATTTGCTAAAAGGGGAAAAAAAAAGAAAACGAACCGTTGATCTAATACGCTACCAATGCCTTAATATTGCGATAGAGATTCTTGGAGACCAAGTTCATGTCAACGAATCGTTAAATGAATTACGATTGGGAATACATGTACAAACAAAGCTATAGTCTACATCTTATTTGGATTTTATTTGTCTTAGTTGCCGAATCAATGGATATTTTCGTTCCTGAGATTTACCATTTTCTTTTCAAACAAATGATACATTGATTTAATTCTGTTTTACACATCAATACACGTTCAATGTGCCTGTTTTCAGCCGTGTAGACTTTACATGTTGATTAAGTCAAGAGGATAACTGTTCTCCAGTAACGCCTCAACACGAAATACGTACAGTACTTGTATCAATAAAAAAGAAAGGATCCGAATGAATTTAATGTTTTTTTTTTGTTATGGGACATAATTAGTAACAAATTATCAACAATTAACGACAGAATAATTGATATGTGAAAACAATACATCATTCGGATTTTGGTAATTTGTATCCCTTATAGAATTTTTCATGTTTTAAAGAAAGTTGTGTGAATATCACTTTGCGTCATTTTTAGAGTGTCTGTTTTATTTGATTTTTAAGCCAACACTGCTTTAATCTGTAATTAGTATTTTATTTGATGATTCAAGAATGGACGGTAATTCTGTCTGCCAGTCTGTAGCAGTTTCATACGTTTGTAGATCCGATCAAATTTACAAATATACATGTTCCGACTGATTATTTCTCCGTCGAGGAGTTTTAACACAGAACTGGAGACAATATTTTAAATATTTATCATACACATATCATATTTTGTCGGTTAGTCAACGTGGAGGTAAGAAATTGGATTTGGTGGCAAGGAAGTAGTTGGGTTACCTGCTCTTTGTTACATTTTCTGCAAAAAAGCCAACACTTCGATTGGCAAAATATTGATCATGTAGCAGTTTCATATGTCACCATCATTATACAGAAAATCAAATCATCACTTTATCTCTTGCATTTTTGCTTGGACATGTGAAGCATGACTTTATGGAATTGCGATGGGCGAGAGTGGTTTTTTCCCCAATTTTCAAGTGTGACGTCACCAGTACTTCCATGGTGCCATGCGCATTGCAACGTCATCAACGATAAGAAATAAGAATATGAGTTTGATAAAATGCTGTTTGCATGCACGTTAGCAAAATATTCTTAGTTGTGTGATGAAGAGAATCTCATATTCGATTTCACGTCTATGAAATTTATCAAACTCATCATCATTTTTCCATTTTTCCTCACCTAAAAATTCGAAGATTCATTTTCTCAATATCATGTAAATGCAAAGTTATGTAAAATCCTCTCGGTCGAACCTTTTACATGAAATATCTAGTTTTGATCTCAATATATCAAAATTTGTAGTTTGGATGTCAAAAAACGATGATCAATCAATCAATTAGTTGCGCGATTCTTTTTGGAGATTAAAACTGTTTTTAGAATAAAACATAGCAAACAGAGATTTAACAAAGTAAACTCAACGAATATTTTTATCCAGAGGTCCCATTAATCTCATAAATTGTAAAACACATTTCTCATAAAACAAGATTTGCGCAGTGAGACTTCAAATTAAATTTTTTCTCATCCTTAAAAATGATTGTTTCTTGTTTGTTATTAGATTTGAAACAAAGTAATCACATAAAAGTAGAGTAAGATGTATTTTTCTTTAAAGTATCTTTAACACGAGCGTGTTCTATATTTAGGACATTTTAAGAGATCATAAATAAGTACAGTCTGAGTGTTTGAATTGATCTTTTTAAATATACGTAAACGTCAAACGTTTCTAAGATGTAGATTTTATGGTGATTATTTACCGAATTTAGTACCGCTATACGTGAACCAGAATTGATATGCGGTGACACATGACGTTATCGATCTTTATAAAACCGATCTCAAGGAGAACGGTGGAGTAGACATCAACATCGTGCTCTCAAGCAAGCAGCGAAATGGCAAATACTTTAGTTATTGTCAAGTCAAATTCTATGGAAGTTCTTAAGGTGATGAAATGTTGTGTCATCTTTATATTACTGAATCCCACGAGAATGAATTGCTAATGATAACGTGACAAGCCATCAGAAGCTCATAAACAACTCGTACTGGTTTAGCAACGTTATAATACAACGGAAAATCTATTTCTTTCTTTTTTCATCCATGTCTTTCCATTTCTGTGTTCTATCAATAAAAAAATAGATTGTACGATAGCAGCTGGTCATTTTGGTAGCCTACAATTACAATAGATATATATATATTTAGTCTGCAATAGGGTATTGACGGGAAAGTGAATTGTCTAGGGCCATGCTGGACACGGCAATTGGTTAACAAAGTGTCAGTGCGCTGAGGCTGTGAGGTATGACCCGGGGGGAAGAGGGCAACACCTCGGCAAGACCAACTACGGCGGAATCGTCCGTACATATACACAGATCAATTATTCGACCACCTTCTATCAGTGCGTTATTGTCTAAGACACGCCTAGGGACTACCTCGAGTAGAAAATCAAACAATAGTACACATTTTCTATAATGCTTACCGGGAGCATTCCCTTCAATTATATGCAAATAGAAAACAAAATGGTCTACTTCTTCCTGTAGTTTATGGCCCTGACTACGAACTTTTAATTTGTTATATTGATTTCATGTCAAAGTGAGAAGTAAGAACATTACCTTCTAGTGCGTCACAATCCCGGAACAGATTTCCGTATTGTTGAAACAATATAACGACTCCAGCTTTCATGTGCTCATGGATATCCCCAGATCTCCAGGAACTCCGGGAGACCGACTTCTCTTCCGTATGATTTTTCTGGTCATGGGGATGTTTGTGGAAAAAATTCCTGGCAAATATTGGAGGTTCATACAAAGTCTCGTTGTGATAATGAGCCATCGTTTTATAAACATACTTTCGTTTGTACCAAAGCTCCATATATGAATTGGTATCCGCCGGACGCATCAGTTCTGTGTTATTTGCTCCATATAAACTTATATTTAAACTTGTCGCATTAAATCCTCGATATTCCCAGTAATCTGTTGTCATGGAAACTATTAACAGTACCGTAACATTACCTGCAAAAATCAAGCTACTATAATTGCAAATTTGTACCATTCCCGATTGTATTACCTATGCAGGTAAATGGGTCCCAACATCGAGTATCATATGACATTTCAAACTGACACCATCATCAACAGTTGCACCTGTACTCACACGTTGTAGCACATTCGCGCATGTAATCCTACCTTTGCTGTTAATTATCCTCAGTATCTAACGCTAATTCCGATCCCATTCCGAATGACACCTGGTACCATCTCCGATCGTTACCTGTGCACGTTCATACCTGGAGTCTGTGCCGTTAAGATATTAAAACTTTGTCAATATTCTCTACAAAGTCGCACCTTCCTCTTCGCATGGTTCAGGTCTAAATCCAAGCAAAACAAAATGCCTCCAAATCGATACCATCCCAGAATTTCAAACATCTAACTTTCGCTCGGTATTACATGGGTTTCCTCGTTGTGACTTGGCCCGCTCCAGCCGCCGTGTTCTGTCCTGTTAAAGCTTTGTTCTCCCGACAAAGCGAATATCACTGCGCGGGTATTAATTAAAAACAAAACATCTTAACTTAAGTTTTTTGATCACCATTTCCCGTGAGTTACAGGGCACAGTGCAGTGGACAGATATCAGCAATGTTGTTATATCGATGGAACCTAGACGTATACTCACAACTAACCTGTATCTGTTTATAATTCCACAAAGCATTCGTCCTCATCTAATATTAATTGCATGTGCGACGCGTTTCAATTTAAGCTGTCTTTATGATAAGTTCATGAATAATTTTTTGAAAATTAAACATCTGAGCAGGAAACCGTTAAACCGATTTCCATCTCTTCTTAAAAAGTAAACCATTGAAATATCACGTATGATGATCTCGGCTTACGATCAGTGACAGTGATATCGTTAAAACCTTAATTCCATTCTCACATAGAATTTGATGAATTCGCGCACTTGTGAGATAGGTGAACAACGAAATCCATAGTGGATTATTGTGCTAATTGGTGCAAAATTACCGCGGATGTTAAAAAAAAGAGAAAAGTCGGGAGTATCACACGAACGCACCGTGTAACTGCTTTCTCCCGTGCCACCCCGACAGTTGTGTCCCTCTGCTCTGTGGCACGCGACTCAACTTTGACAATTGTACGACAGAGGATGGTAAATTATTTATGCGAGAAATGTTAATATTTGCTACATTGGAGCTTTCGCATCGCCATCATTTCCTGACAAGTGTCGTAGCCACGGCCCCGTGGGGAAATCTACAGCTAAGGTCCGTGCTACATCGCGGATGCTTCCAGGAGAATATGGGGAGGCGAAACAAGTATTAGTAAACTATGTACAGGCTAATTATATGAAACAATGGGTTCAATTTGAGGTAGAACCCATACTAAACTCCCGGTCGTTCTGTCATGTCCTCGGGGTTTGTGTAATAAAAACAAAGAGCTCTGTTTCAACATAAGTCCCTTGTTTGTGTGCTTATTTACTCTATATACTGCTCATGTGATATCATTTCACGACATTGATCCTTGGTGTTACAGCTTAATAAAATTTCCTATAATCAGTTATTCTCTTGGTACCAAGTTCAATTTGATAATCTTGTCCAAATTATTTGACACTCGAACGCTGTACGACGAGAACCCGACCCTGTGGCTTGCCTTTATATATATATATAACGAGATTGTGTATGTATATATATATATCTTTTCTGATTCCATTCCAATGCTTTTGGTGCAATTCAGTGACATGGAAACCATGGAAAAACGATATCGGAATCAGCCAAGTATGGACGAGATAGGAACAAGCAGTCGATTACTAAGTTATCGGATATTTATGAATCCCCAGGATGGGACACCGGAGAGGCAGAATTTTCAGAAGACAGACCTTTATACAGACAACGTATATGTGTAAGTTTGTGTGTATATATGTACAAGGCTGAGAAATAAGCTTGCTCTATATTTCTTAATATCGAACGCAACGTTTCGGTAGAGTTAGCATTACGTCGCATCCCGTTGAAGTTTGTGTATAGAGTTTCCATCACTGGTTCAACGAACGCGGAGTAGATTTGAAATCAGAACAAAAATTATACAGTCATGTGTCAAACAAGCGCGTAGACTTAAAGAGGATGAAGAAATCTCAGGGCCTCGGCATCGATTTGTGAATCGACTATTATTACGTTATACAAAATGACGGAGGGCTCGAATGTTCCGATACATCATTTCAGCGCGTTCGATGTACAACATGTTATGGTGCGTAATCCAGGTTACCACGCAATCTAACTTCAACAAGGAACTTGGCTGTACGAGACTTTCTTAACCAACGGCTTGTGATAGTGCAGCTTAGCTAAACTAAAATTTTATTTCATACTTCTGTAACAGATTAGAAAAAGAAACAAACAAACATGCAAACAAGCAAACAAACAAACTAAAATCAAAATAAAAAACAAAACCAGCACAAAAAAGGAAAAAAGAAGAAGAAAGAAGAAAAAGAAGAAAAAAAAAAAAAAAAAAAACTGTTCGGCCAGGTTGTATAAATAACAGCATACATCTAGTTAATATTTTTGTTCACGATCGTCCTAAATCTAAATATATGGGCACTACGTTCTCTCTTACCCTTGGATATTTTTAACTCCACAATATATCTTTTCCTGTTTTTTATTCCATACATATATGTAGACTGATAATTTCATTCACTCTTTTATATTTTTGTATGTGAACTTTCAAATGCGTTCCACCCCCTCCTACCATAATGACCCACACGTCACTATTCCCGCCTAATTTTAAACATTCCGTTTATTATCACCCTCTGATTTATTCACGAAGTATTCAATGTATATCGTATTGTCTGATCACTGCCGTTCTCTAATATGTAAACCCTCCGACCTCTATCGTACTATCTGATCACTACCGTTCTTTAATATGTAAACCCTCCGACCTCTATCGTACTGTCTGATCACTGCCGTTCTCTAATATGTAAACCCTCCGACCTCTATCGTACTGTCTGATCACTGCCGTTCTCTAATATGTAAACCCTCCGACCTCTATCGTACTGTCTGATCACTGCCGTTCTCTAATATGTAAACCCTCCGACCTCTATCGCACTGTCTGATCACTACCGTTCTCTAATATGTAAACCCTCCGACCTCTATCGCACTGTCTGATCACTACCGTTCTCTAATATGTAAACTCTCCGACCTCTATCGTACTGTCTGATCACTGCCGTTCTCTAATATGTAAACCCTCCGACCTCTATCGTACTGTCTGATCACTGCCGTTCTCTAATATGTAAACCCTCCGACCTCTATCGCACTGTCTGATCACTACCGTTCTCTAATATGTAAACCCTCCGACCTCTATCGTACTGTCTGATCACTGCCGTTCTCTAATATGTAAATCCTCCGACCGCTATCGTACTGTCTGATCACTACCGTTCTCTAATATGTAAACCCTCCGACCTCTATCGTACTGTCTGATCACTGCCGTTCTCTAATATGTAAACCCTCCGACCTCTATCGTACTGTCTGGTCACTGCCGTTCTCTAATATGTAAACCCTCCGACCTCTATCGTTCTTATTGATCACTACCGCTCTTTTATCTGTAAATTTTTCGACCTTAATCATTCCACTTTGATCACAACAATCCTTCGATAGTTGAAATCTCCGATCACTGTCCTTTATATTTTTTCACGTATAATTACCGCTCTCTGTTATGTAATATCTCCGATAACTGTCGTTCCTCTCTGATCACTACCGCCCTCTGTTATGTGATTTCTCAAATAACTGTCGTTCCTCTCTGACCACTACCGCCCTCTGTTATGTGATTTCTCAAACAACTGATTACTAACGCTATGTGATATGTGAACTCTGAAATCACTCCCTCTAATTTGTGAAATTTCTCACAATTGGTGCCTCTAATTCATGGACTCTGATCACTTTTTCACTTTGATCTCTCATACCTCTACTGATTGGAATCTCTGGTCACTTGTACGCTTTGATCTCTCATACCTCTACTGACTGGAATCTCTGATCACCTGTACGCTTTGATCTCTCATACCTCTACTGACTGGAATATCTGATCACCTGTACGCTTTGCTCTCTCATACCTGTACTGACTGGAATCTCTGATTACTTGTACGCTTTGATCTCTCATACCTCTACTGATTGGAATCTCTGATCACCTGTACGCTTTGATCTCTCATACCTGTACTGACTGGAATCTCTGATTACTTGTACGGTTTGATCTCTCATACCTCTGCTGACTGGAATCTCTGATCACTTGTACGCTTTGATCTCTCATACCTCTACTGACTGTAATCTCTATTCACCTGTACGTTTTGATCTCTCATACCTCTACTGATTGGAATCTCTGATCACCTGTACGCTTTAATCTGATCTCTCAAACCTGCACTGACTGGAATCTCTGATCACTTGTACGCTTTGATCTCTCATACCTGTACTGACTGGAATCTCTGATTACTTGTACGCTTTGATCTCTCATACCTCTACTGACTGGAATCTCTGTTCACCTGTACGCTTTGATCTCTCATACCTCTACTGATTGGACTCTCTTGTCACCTGTACGCTTTAATCTCTCATACCTGTACTGATTGGACTCCCTGTTCACCTGCACGCTTTAATCTCTCATACCTGTACTGAATGGACTCCCTGTTCACCTGTACGCTTTAATCTGATCTCTCAAACCTGTACTGACTGGAATATCTGATCTCTTGTACGCTTTGATCTCTCAAATCTCTGCTGACTGGAATCTCTGATTACTTGTACGCTTTGATCTCTCATACCTCTACTGATTGGAATCTCTGATCACCTGTACGCTTTGATCTCTCATACCTGTACTGACTGGAATCTCTGATCAGTTGTGCGCTTTGATCTCTCATACCTCTGCTGACTGGAATCTCTGATCACTTGTACGCTTTGATCTCTCATACCTCTACTGACTGTAATCTCTATTCACCTGTACGTTTTGATCTCTCATACCTCTACTGATTGGAATCTCTGATCACCTGTACGCTTTAATCTGATCTCTCAAACCTGCACTGACTGGAAT